CGGGTTAATGTTGTCAAACTGGGAATTTTGATAGGCATAGATTTCCAGAAATAACTGAAAGAACTCGGGTAACTTGAAGAGAAACGTGAAAATTTATAGAAAGGAGAGAGATTGGACGAATATGAATTATACAGATGCAAATGGAGCTTGCAGGTAGCCTATTTAAAAATATGATCTAGCTTTGCGCAAAGAATTTTTCCATGCAGAACTATCGCCTATTTATTTTTTGGCTTTATTCCAAATACTCAGATGTGTGAATATCCTAAGAGAAAAAAAATTTATCGGATAGCACACAATTTAGGCATTTGAATATGACTAATATTTAGTCCATCCTACTCCTATTAAGCAGATATAAGGCTTCTCAATAAAGTGCATCAGGGTATAATTGAATTCTTCTTTGGAAAAGCACACCTGCAACATTTCCGTTGCGTCAGTTGCGCTGTTCATGATGGATTTTCCGAGGTAGGTGGTAAGCGTATGACTCAAAGAGGTCTCTCAAATCTTTTTTTTAACATTTTGATTTCCCCGAAAAAAATCCAGATGATCAACAAGTTGGCGAATGAGGGAGAGTAGAGGAAATGTCAAATTATGCTGTAAACAGCTTAACCATGAACCTATGCGACATAAAAAAAGCATGAATGCTGGTGTGCAGAGTGAGGAGAAAGGTTCACAATATAACATATGATGAGGAACTGCGTTGTCTTTTTGATCATGAACATCTCAAATTTCCGTGACAATGATCAGGGCTAAGTAAGAAGATCTTTTTCAAAACACAATGCACTCTGACGCACCAACAGCGCTGCCTGTTAGTTGTGCGAAAAATAGACGAATCGGAGGAACATCTTCACAAAGGACAAGCGCAATAGCATATGAGCGTAGATCACGAAGCGCGTAAAAAATCGTGTGATGTGTGTAATCACACCGCATATCCATGAATGAAGTGGATGAATAGTGACGGTTGAGTTCGTGTGCACGACGATTGGGGTATCGTGGCTGTAGAGCACAACTGCCAGATGAGGGCGGTGGCAACTGACGCAAAGCGCTGCGCTCTGGCACATGCATTGATCTTCGAAGCGAATGGATGTATGGGGATTCATATCAAAGCCAACGAAGAAAAACACTCCGAACGACGTCAACACGTTGCCGAAGGCAGGTGTTACAAACCTGGTATGTGATTGAGTTTTTACGAAAATCACTGAACATCATATGGTCGGTGAATGACAGGTCTGAGCTAAAGCAGAGCCATGTCGCGGGGAAACATGAGGATCAAGAAGCAATGATGTTAACAGTTTGTGGTACGTATGTATGAAGGCGTTTTGATTTGAAATATTATTCAAATCAGAAATCTGCCAGAGTTACAAAAGCAAATTCTGAAATAAGTCATCGTACCGGACGACCTTTTCGCGGTATCATTAGGCTGAGAAAAGGATGTCGCTTTTCCTAGCAAAGCAATAAGACGTATCTAAAAATATATGAGAGGTACCATTCGATAGAGCAGAGGCAGCTCTACAAGATGACCTTTCAACAGTGGCAAGTTTGAAGCCAGAACATGAACAACTTATGGTTTCAAAAATCGCAATTGCGTCCCGAAAAATCCTACGAACTTCTCACTGCTCCGTGCAATAAACATGCCATACATATGTACAATTGCTGTATTTTTCATGCTTAGAAATCATGAAAAAATTGGAGAATCGAAAATGGCAAACTCCGCCCCCAGTGGTTCTGTGCTACTCCTACAAGTGCCATTGTGTACTACAGCCCTCGACAGTTTAGCCATGAAGTTTTGGCTTCGGATATGCCTAAGTTCTTAAGAGATATCAATTTAAGCGAAGAAAATCCGAAAAAAGCGACATTCTTTTCTCTGCAACCTAATACTTGACAGCATAAACAAAAACAACTTCGAAATTTTCTATATAATGGCTTGCATTAGTAGCAGTGCACTAATGTATCTAATGTATCTCCTAAAATCACTTCAAGAAAAGTCGTAATGTTCCAACTTCTTACGACAAGTACGTTGCGACGGAAAAATTTCATATTTAAGTCAGGATCTTAATTGTATAGTATCGAACATTGCTCCCCTCATATAATTCTTGTTCAACACTTTAGTCTTGAAATGATAACTGGAAAATACACTCCCCCCCCCCTCCCCTCCCTGCCCTCGCCCCATAGAACTCGTTAACATGGTTCTTCTGAACCCATACAGAAGGCGAGATAGTGCATCGTTAAGAAGCCACCACGATTCTATTTGAAAGAAAAACCTCCGCACTTGATAATTCACAACTTTAAGAAAAGTTCTTGAGCCAAACGTTCACTTGGGTCAACCATTTATCTGTAGGGTAAGAACCTCAGTCGTAATTTAGATTTTTTCTGCTTCTCTAAGTTTCGGATGATCACGGGGTAGTCACTGATCAATTGATGAAGGCTACGCCAGCGGAAAAATGCCTAAGAAAAAAGTATAAAAACACGAATGATGTGCTAATCCTTGTTTTACCCTTCATCTAGCTTAAAAGCAAGACAAATGATGTAATTTGCGGTTTAAGAGACTTTTATTTTCAAACAAATGATCCTTTCAATTATCGTGGCTTTCAAAGCAGAAAAGAAACTTAGAAAAATATGAAGATCGATTTATGGTGATCAGTGGAATGAGCTTTCGTTCAACTTGTTGCTCGTCAAGTTAGAGATTTAACAAGACGGATGAGCACCAGGAATGCAACAAACAGCTGAAAAAGAAAATGGAAATATGTAAGCGTGAGAGATTTATGGAGGTTTCGCTCATGCAATCTGAGCTCAAAGAGTGGAATCGGGAACACAGTGTAGAATAATCTTGTTTTTCATTACTCCATACAACTTCACGAAGTTCAACAAAATCATGTAATAAAGCTTTTAATTATTAATTTGATCAATGTTATAACGTCAGAACAAGATCCAACGAAAGATCTTTCGGAGCTGGTGGTGGAGATTAAAACTTTAGATAGTAATAGTAGAGTGGTTAAAAAATAATTTCGTTTTTTCTGCAACGTAAAAAATTTTCCTGCTGTTTTCTCCTCAAAGATTTTTTTGTGACTGGAACAGAGCTTCTACTTTCTCATATTAACTACTCAGAATTTCCTATTATCATTAAAGGACAGTTGTGCCCTTATCTAGCTAAATTTCCAAGCTCGGTTCCACATTTGCAAGCTTCGTTTTTATGCTGTAATGGATGTAGAGATAAGACTTAGCATCTGGACACATCCTAGGTTTCTTTATTCAACGTTTAACATTAAAATTGTCCTGCCATTCTGAACTTTTTTTTTTTGATGGAGAAAGCAAAATTTTCTCACAGTTGTACAGAATGAGAGAATTGTCTCACTTCTTTCCTCTCCTTCAGAGTGATAGATTCTACTCAAACAGATTTTACAATACTCATAAAAGTGCTCTTTCCAGATATACCGAACAATGGACAAAAATGCAGTAGCGACTGAAACCATTCATTAGCCAAACTAATATTTTCACGCAATTTAGATTACAAGCCTCATTCTGAGCTTATTCTGTTTATTCAACGATTCTCTAGCAATATCTGATTGTAGGAACAGAATACACAAGATTACACTGACCAGTTCCTGCTAGTAACCGTTTCTTCCCTAATAACAGGTGATTTGAAATTTGGTAGGACGTGGCTAGAAATACCCTCTTTCCTTGAGTGGTATTATTGCTCTGAGAAGTGTGCCTAAATGCCTAAAGAAATGTTTGATTGTTAATAATTCTCTTGGCAAGAAGTCTTTCGAGAAGATTAGGTGCCATTTTGTAGAGCTGGATTCAACTTAGATCTGCAGCATGGAACGAATCACCGACTCTTCATTATAGTAGGAGTACGGTAGGAACTTTGAGCATATGGCGTCACTGTGAGAAGCTGACGTTCAAAATTATTTTAGAAAAAAGTAAAAACTTGTGTGAGAGAGCTTTCATAGAGGCTGGGTTCATTACTTATCTTGTACAAGATTGTGAAGCTTTTTGAAGGGTGTAAACACAATTTTAGCGACATCGAGATATTAGCTGCCAATGCTGCTCACTTGGCATAACTTTTTGAGGAAGCAGTATCATGGAAGCAAATTCTTAATTGGAATCAGCAAATCTTACTTATGTGAGAGTTCAAATATAGCCCTCCATGGCTCAAAACCCCTTTTCAAAGTTCCTACCTTAATCTTAGTAATTAAGGCGACCTGTGATTCGCTCTACACTTCTCATCTAAGCTGAAGCCACCTCTACAAAATGGTACCCGAAGCTTCTCCAAAGACTTCTTAACGAGCGAGTTATTGACAATCAAACAGTAAGAGCATTTTTGGGACAATTTGTATATCTTCATTACAAATGTGTTATGATCTTTGTTTTCATTCGAAAGTAGCGACTGAAGTGCCAATGTGAATAACGATCTGATACTGGCACTTTATTGACTTGGCAGATAGATATCGGACTAGCAAAAGTAGCAAAGCATTTGATAGCTATGGACCCTCTAATTTTTATGAAGCGCCTTCGGAACACCTTCTCACATATCTGTGTTGCTTCGAACTCCTCAAGACGTTAAAAAACAGCCTCACTTTGCCCACGCTACAGAGTGATCAACTTTACCATGAGTCATTGATTTCGGTAAAATCCAGTAAGGTCTATGTATTTCTTTCTGCATACCATGTCTATGAAAATAAACGATTGTTGTTGAATTTTGTTCTTCCATAAACCTTGAACCATTAATGCTTTAGCTAATTTTCAGACTTGTTTAAGACCGATATTCGATAACAGTGACGAACACAACTCGAGCCGAAACCATTAGAATTTTATTTCCACCGGCAAGCTGTACCGTATATAAAGCTGTTATTACTTCAGTTAACTTGCCCATTATGCAAAGCTTAATTGCTTGCTGAGTAATAATTCATCCTCATTAGACCGACCAGATGCTTTATGACGTCAGAGAATTTATTATTAGCTCAAATGATACAGAACAATGACCAGTTTTCACATAAATACACGTAATCTTAATGCTTCCTCATTCGCCTCTTCTTATTCATACTGAAAAACGAGAGGTTGTCGTTCGTCGCTGATGCAGCTTCCTCGAATGATTCCGTTGGACGACGTCCGCCTAGAATGTAAAAGTTGGAAAAAATTCTTACAGATTATTTGGAGTGTAACTAATGCATATTATTTCAAAATTCATTAGTGCTAGAATTTTCTGTGAGGCAGGTATGTGCTCTTTCTCAAAAGAATACGGCATTATTAATCTGACATAAAAACATGAATAAAAAACTGAGACTTGATCAATATTATGTCTTATATGGCTTTTCCTACTTTGCAAGAGAAAAAACAGTTTGTCATAAATGTTTTCATCATCTTTTACGACAAACTGTTCCTTATTCTTACATGATTCTTGGATCGTCGCCCTACACTATTCTGACAAACGCCAGTTTGGGATTCGAAAATGTAAAAAATCTGAAGTTGCATGTTCCATATGTTCGATATGTTTGTTTTTTGGGCTTACAAAAGGCCGGAATACGATACTCAGAGCGAAAAAAATGTCTAAACTTTATTCATTTAACAATCTTTAAACAAACGTCAACTCCAGTGCTATTCCTTACCTCCAAATCCTGCTCCCCCGCCTCCAGGTGGACCAAAACTCGATGGTGGATTTACAGGTGAAGATGGAAGTGCTTGTACCATTAGACCTAAATGGGAACATCAAAAGATGTGAGAAACATGGTCCATGTTTCAGAGTTGATCCGCCATAACACACATTTAAAGACTTTCGTATAGAAAAAAGATTGGTTCCGTAACGAAATGCATACAACTGAAGATCTATCCCTCCCCCAACACTTTCCATTCTATAAACTTTCATAACCACGAAACTCGTAACCTCACCAGAATCCTCGAAGAACGACGTCTTAACCTCCGATCGACCCCTTTCATAACCGGTTTTGTCAGGTCCTATAAACCATATCTATACGGTTAGTTGTAGTAGGCGAATAAAAACCTCACCTTGTGGTAGCGCTTGCTTCGTAGTTGAAGGAGGTTGGGTAGACGTCGTGGGTGAGATGATAACCGGAGCTAGAGTCTCTGCATTGATGGTGGGAGGGTAATAAGGCGTATTAGCGGTCTGAGGTGATGAACTGTCCACCTTGAACGGTTGCACTGCGCTGTTCACTAAGGGTGCTCCTGAAAGTCAGAATAATCTATCAGATTTTCTGCATTTTCCAGTCAAACAAACTTCTAAGATTCTCGCCTTGGATTCTACCAGCAATCAAAGGTGGCGGTGGAGGTGGGGGTGGAAGCGGTCCCTTATACCCAGGAGGTGGTGCAATGAAGTAAGGAGGTAGAGTTATTTGCGGAGTTGGTAACGTCGTCTGTGAATTCATGGCAGCTTCAGCTGCTTGTTGAGCTAAGGGTATGGAAGCTACTCTCGTGAAAGCTTGTGGGTAACTTGGTTTCGGTGTCGGTACAGTCAAGTGTTGTGATGGAGGAAGGATAATCTCGTGAAGTGGCACGGCATTGCCCTGAAGACGACTTTTTTATAGATCACTAGATCGAAGGAAAAAAATATGTATAAGACTTACATAGTTTTCCATGCTGGACTGGTATTTTAGTGTCTCCTTCACTTGCTCTATTTTAGCTGCGAAGGCTTTTTGGTCTTCCTGAAAAATCACTTGCAAGTACCTGTTGCATGCAAAATTCTGAGAAAACTTGACGTTTTGACGCTAGGGGTCGTCTTTAGAAGAATGTCTGACGGAAATCAAATTTATATTTGACTGAGATTGTGTACTTCAATAGCAAACAAACTCGAGAGTAAAATGCAGTTAATTAATATTGCTCTATGAGGGAAGACGGTCGAATGGCGCGTATTGATCGGCTGTTCTAACCAAAAGAACCGCGAATAAAGTCCAAATCTATCTTGTTCCTTCCGGGTCTCAATCATGTAATGCTCCCCTGTACTCCCTCATACACTGACAAAACTTTGGGACTCCAAAAATCATAATTCTGTGAAGTATGAATCCATTCTGGGAATAGCGACCGCCGAAATGCTCGCCATTCGACGTGCACTCCTCTATGAGCAAGTACGATCATTCCAAGCAAATTTTTTTAAAGGGCCTGCTTTCGAGCAACCCACCATTTTGATAAAATTAGGAGTTCATTATGTGTTTCATCTCATTAGAATTAGATTAATTCACAAGGTGACGATTTCTGGCAGCCAGCCAGCTTTTACAAAGCATGACGCCATCATGTACCCAAGATTTTCCCAAAGTCAAAAGTCTGTAAAAATTCACTTGATAGCTGCAAATGCCTGCTAGGGATAACTTCAGAAAAAAGTGGAGACGAAAGTGAACGAAAACTCAAAGGGTGAAGTGAAGCAGATAAAGCAAAAAAACTTTATAAGTTTAATAATTTTGTATGTTCCATTTTCTTTAAATCTGGGCATCTTATATATAAAGCTGAATGTCTGTTTGTATGTATGTATGTCTGTCTGTCTGTCTGTCTGTCTGTCTGTCTGTCTGTCTGTCTTATGTATGTCTGTCTGTACGTATGTTCCGAATAGAAAATTCCATTTCTGAACCGATCCGGACCAAACTTGGCACACATACACTACGGGCCCCGGCGTGTCATAGGCTACTTTTCGTCATCGATCGATATCGATTTTATCGATTTTTATCGATTTTTTTGCTGAGTTCACCTACGGGGCTGGGAGTTGGCACAGGGGGGTAATCGAGCATGGGGATTCCGAATACAATATTGGTTTTCAGGATTATCGATTACTTTTATCGATTTTATCGATTTTTTTGCAAAGTTTGAGCTACGGGGCTGGGAGTTGGCACAGGGGGGTAATCGAGCATGGGGATTCCGAATACAATATTGGTTTTCAGGATTATCGATTACTTTTATCGATTTTATCGATTTTTTGCAAAGTTTGAGCTAGGGGGCTGGGAGTTGGCACAGGGGGGTAATCGAGCATGCTGATCATCCCCAAGGGGGGTGATCAGCATGCTCGAACACCCCTGTGCCAAATTCCAGCCCCCTAGCTCAAATTTTCAAAAAATCGATAAAATCGATAAAAGTAATGGACGATCCTGAAAACTAATATTGTGTTCGTGATCAACATGCTCGATTACCCCCCTGTGCAAAATCCCAGCCTCGCATGTCAAAATTTACAAAAAATCGATAAAATCAATAAAAGCAATCGATAATTCTGAAAACTAATATTGTATTCGGAATCCCCATGCTCACTTCCCCCCTGTGCCAACTCCTAGCCCTGTAGGTGAACTCTGCCAAAAAATCGATAAAAATCGGCAAAATCGACATCGATCGATAACGAAAAGTGGACTGTGACACCCGCCGGGGCCCGAAGTGTATGTGTGCCAAGTTTGGTCCGGATACGGCGGAGCCGAGTAAGCCAGCTAGTAGCTTATAATCTTCAACTCTATTGTGCCGCACAGTTATTAGGACGACGAAAGCGTCGAAACGTTAGGCCAGTACGAATAAATCTGCCACCATAACAAACCTGTACGGCACAATAGAATGAAGATTATAAACTTTATAAATTTTCAAGAATTGAAAACTAGCTGCTGGAAGTACCGCCTACATGTTACCCAATTTCATAAGACTAACTGATAATAAAACGACATCACAAACTTCTTCTATCTAATGGAACTGATTCATGGCTATAAATTACCTCTCTGTCTCGTCGCAGTGATCCAGGGTTTAGAATTTCCCTTGCGAGTTGTGTGCCATAGCCAATTATCGAGTTTTCGCTTGGCGAGTGTGCAAGCAGATCTAAATCACTTGGTTATTTCAAACATACTGGAATTAAAAAGCTGTCACCTCTTCCGCTGGGCTCATATGTCCGTACACCGGCTGACTAAAAGATTATATTACTAATTGGGGACTTGTGGGCTGATAAAGTTCCTACTTTTGCAGCCGCAAGTCGTGATCGTATCAGTGGCGCAATGATGGGACCTATGTTATCGAGAATTCCAGCAATTGGAGTTATAACATTGGCTAGCTTCGGATCGGCTTGAGCATTGGCTGTGGCCTAGAAGGTTAAATCATATTTTTATTGAAACACAGGCATAAAAAATTGCTACTTATATTCAAGGTCTAAACTTACATGTAAATTATAGACCGTGGTCCCACTTTTCGGCACTGCAGTTGTTGCCGTAGTGGTTTCAGGTTCGTCTTGTGCTGGAAATGATATACTATATTCCAATCACGCCCTCACAAAAATTATATGGCAAAGTTCCAATTTTCAGCAAACATCAGTAAGAGCTATCCAAATATTATAGAAACTGCGCTCACACACCATTAGGATCCTCCTCCTCAGCTTCGGGAATTTGTTTGAATGCTACCATAGCAACTTCTTCAGATTCTCCTTCAGTAGTATTTGTCGTTTTAGCGCTAGAAGTAGTAATCTTCGTGGTTGATGTAGAGTCTTCTTTTGATTCTGTGCTTTTCTCCGTCGTTTGTTCAGTTGTATCGATCACAGTAGTAGTAGATGTAGTAGGAGTAGTAGCAGGTTCAGTCACTTCTTCCGTCGCCGAGGATACTGTAGTCGATGTCGTCGCTTCTGTGACTTCTGTTGTAGGAAGTACTGTAGTAGACGTCGTCGTCCGGCTTTCCGTCGTTTTGTCCAATTCAGCCGTCAGCTTCTCAACTAAAAAGATCAAAATGAAAAACTGATTAAGCATTGATGAGAATTAATTCGTAGCGTAAACATTATGCACCACTCTGCGTATGCAAAATTTTGGCTAAGTTCTCTGCTAATCCTATCTCAACATTAAGTGCCCAATAAGCCTAGCAATAATGAGAAATTTCCTTTGTCTATCTACATTTCCTTCTAGTTCTTTGTTACTTCTGCCATGGCTCGACAAAAGCTTAATTTTTTTAGTTCAAGAATACCAGTAAGAAACAGAAGAGAATGTGAGAGAAGTAAAAGCTAAAATAACATTCGATTCCGTAGAGAATTCTATGAAGGCAATTAGAATACCGTTGCATCCAAATTTTTTCAAAAGCTGCATTTTTCTTATGAAGAATTCTGATGTAGTTTGATTTCATCATATTCGTTAAGAATTATGCTTAGACGTTTGAGCTTTATCTTGGAAACCTGGAGATAAAGAAATTCAGTTACGCCGATAGGCTCCAACTGCGCGGACATCTGGTAGCAACAGCAGCATGCAGTGATGCATTTGTGACAGATATCCGCGTGAGCGGAGCAAATACAACGTCTTCTGCCTTCATAGAAGTAACTCCGTCATCGCTAACCTCTTCGTTGCAGGAACGACATGATTTTCGCGCGCGTATGTTCGCGAAGACGTCTGATTTCATCGGAACTTGGCCCACCATCAGCGTTTTCAGCTCGTTCATCTGCTTCGATCAATGACAGCACCTTCAATGCAAAAACTTAAAAATGAGTTGGATTAAATTTTTGAAAATCAAGTATAAGCGGCTCACCTCGCTGACTTCAGCAGCTTCGTCAGTACTGAGAATGCTGGGTGGTGGCAGCACAGGCACCTGCGGAGTCTCGATGCGAGTGGTGGTCTCGAGCGCTTCTGTTGTGGTTTCTTCGTTTTCCTCACTAATTGCTGAACTTTCTTCAGTAGTTGCGCTGGTGGTTTCAGTTGTGGTAGAAGGAGTTGTAATTTCAGGATCTGAGTCAGTTTCATCATCTGATGAGTTCTTTTCACCATCAAGTAGGGTGGCTGCAAAGGCTTTTGAATGCTCCACGAATTCTTCGGTTTTATCGTCCTTTTCCTTCAGCGCATTTCGAAGCGCTGCTTCTGCAACAGCTTCTACAGAGTTTATGCTTCCATTTTCAAGCGTCGTCTCATCATCTTCTTGTGAAGTTGCGACCTTTTTCGATGTAGTTTCTACTACTATGCCACGTTCCTTAACAATCTTTTCCATGGATTTCTTTGCCTCTGCTATTTTATCCCAATTTCTTTCGTGTTCTTTGACAGTGTCGTTGAGAATCGATAACACTTGTGATTCTAAATTTGCTTTGTCATCAAGAGAATCATCTGATGTTGACGGTGTGGGTGTTGTTGAATCCTCAAAGGCCTCCGTTGAAGCGGGGTTGAAGACCACCGTAAACTGCTGACTATCCTTCACGTATGGTGTGGTAGAAATCGTTGAGTATGAGAATGTCGTAGTTTCCTATATTTAACCTACTAAATTACTATTGACCTCAAATGCGTAAAATGTATTCAATTCTAATAAAAGATCTCATTCGACGCCTCACCTCTACTGTCTTCTCGCTTTCCTCATCCTCTTCTTGTCTGTCGTCATCATTTGAGAACTCTTCATGATGTTTACTCTCTCGCACTTTCCTCTCAGCCTTTAGCTGAGCCAATTTTCTCAGGTATTCTCTTTCAAGGATCGCCTGCAAAGGCTTGTAAATGTATAGTGAATTTTGAGAAAATTAATCCTACCAGTTCTGAACTATCCAAGTGGAACTCTTTGGAATCTTCTTCAGACCATTTAGCCTTTTTATGCTGTTTTCTGGTTCTCTTCTCAGTGGTAGGCTCCTCTGTCGTTGTAGATGGGGATACTGTAGTAGAAGCTACAGTAGTCGTTTCGGTTGTGGGAATTGGTGTGGTAGTCGAGGTTACTGTAGTGGGTACGGTAGTGGGAGCAGCGGTCGATGTAGTCGTAGTTGTAGTAGTAGTTGTCGTCGTTGTAGTGGTTGTTGTTGTTGGAAGCGTAGTTGTCGTAAAAGGTGATTGGCCCTTTATTCTGAATACGGTAATTGTGCAATTGCTCGTTACCGTAATTCACCCTATATCGAAAAATAAAAGTGTGTAATTGTGTGACGTTGGGCTCACCTTGGGAGAAGTAAATAAAGCAGTCGCTCGTTAATAATGTTATCTCCATCCTTTTTCTCTCGGAGAATTTTCTTCAAATCCTCTTGTTTAACGCTAGGAGCGATAGTAAATTCGCGTGGGTCCGGTGGAATAATCCTAAGCTCTCACTTATCTCCCAGTCGTAAAAAAAAATAATCCACGGCTACCTACCTCTTCGACTGCGGTCGAGTAGCCATGTTTCGCAAAACTCTGCTCCAAGCTCCAAGCGCATCGCGAACGCCAAACTGATCGCCCAAAGCTGCGATTTGCGATGAGGGCTGATGCGTTTCGCCACCACCGAACAAGCCGAATTGCGCGTCGACTGCGTTGATAAGCAGTACAAGCGCGCACCACACGCGCATCAGATGCTAAAATTGGTCTTAGAATCTGAGATAGAGCAAAATTGATTGTAGAGGTTGATGTTAACGAACGATCTGCGAAAAGAACATGTATATTTTTGTTCAACGAAGAGTTGAATGGCATTCCACGAGAAAACTTTACAGGATTATGCTCCACGGACGATACAATATGTACCGCTCGTTATTTGTGAAAAAAACTCCGGTGGCCGAAATTTGTGTCGCTATATCTCGGTTCAGAGTGGGTTAATTGTGCATAATGGGGTACCATCCAACTCAGCCAGGCACATCTTCTGCTGGAAGTAGTACCTGTCTGGTTGCGGTACGTGGGTTTTGGGTTTGATCAAAAAACTGGCTACTTACCGTAGTGACCTTATCCAGACACACATATCCATAAACAAAGTATGGCTCAACAAACTGAATTCATTGAATTTCTTGGATTCAGAACTCATTAATTTGAGGGATATAGACTTGATGGGACGCTTATTTTGGCAAACTCCGGCAACCACCGCGCTTTACAAATCAAGACGGTATTGTATATTGTACATATTGCATGAAAGTAGGAGGAGAACGATCAATCAGCTTAAAAGAAATATCCACGAGCTCGAGAATCAGGAGACAAATGAGTTCTAAACTCGACGAGGCGCATCTTGGGGTAGCTCCTACCGTATCGAAGCTGTAGCACGATGTATACAGTCCGTAATGGTACGATCAAGTGCGAGCAAACTAATAGCCGAGCGATTCGCTGTACCATAAAACTCAAGTGTTGGAATGTAAATATGATCATATGATCTAAAAGGATTGGGTCGTGGGATATCCGTGGGATAGCTATAGTCTGGCGCATGCATAAGAAGAAGCAGTATGGAAAAACTCTCAACAAATCTAATCAGGGTTTGAATATTTTTTTTTATAAAAATCCCCTTACATGTTTCTGCATTGTCAATTAGCCGAATGCAAACTTTGCGCAGGCTATTGGGCAAGTTCCAAGTGGTTGCTACACATTTTCACTGCTGGAAACATCTACATCAACACAGAAAAAAATAAAAGGTTTGACCCAATTTCCATTTCAGCTAGGCGCATTTCCCTTGCGCTGCAAAAGGATTAAGGCTATCGAAAACATCATCCAAATTCGAGAAAACTTTCTAGATGTAAAAAATCCACACGCCTCAAGTCTCTCTGCTACTACAGCTGATTAGAAAAAGAACTATCTCTATAAACTATCCTTTTCCATGGAATTTTTGAACGCATTTTCCGAGAATTTTGAGCTAAAGCTTCCTACAAGTTCAACTAACTTTTTTATACATAGCAAACTAAACCAAGTAGTAAATACAGAATGCTGTAAGTCAGTACTGTTGTACTGCAGCCGATAACGAAACGATCCAAAGAGTAGACAGTCGACATTTCATAAATTTTGAAAGCATGGCATGCATATGTATGCTTGATTTCTGAAAGGCTCCTGCAGAAGTTTTTGGGTTTTTGCTTGAAACTGATAAAAGTAAAATAATAGAACAATGACAGCATGGTAGAAACCCACACTGTGAGGGAAAACGTAATATAGCGATTTCTGAGCGAACAGTTTCTGTAAAAGGGTCAAACAAACAATAGCCATGACTGACAGTTTGCAAAGTTTCGTGCACTGCACGAATTTCATTTCGTAGCCGTTCATAAAAACTGGTTGTACTGAATATGAGAAGAAAACTGAGACTTAAGAATAATCAAAATAAATGATCTCTAGGACAAGGCAGAGTGGTGAGTAATGAAGAATACGATCGGCTTGTAATATGGCAAAAATTTCTTGATGAGAAAACTTCAGAAAAAAGTGAAACGTCGGAAAAAGGATAGGTGTCATACAATCACAAATATATTGAATAAAAAAACACAGCATTCCTATCATTAAAAAACATCTGAACGTACTTGGTGTTACGTTAATGCTCTTAATTCATGCAGTACATTCACTTCTCAGTTTCTTCGTTTGGATAGCCCCAACGAACAATAAGATCGGATTAGTGGATCATGAAATTGAAAACCGACATGTTCTAGAGAAGTGATAGCGGCTGAGAGGAGCGAATTGGGGTCGCGAAGAAAGTGATACATTTCGAAACCGAATCTCACATAAAGGACAGGGATCGGAGTATTTTGCACAGTTCAGCGGCATATCTAGAAACTATGCATCGGATGAACGTTTTATGCGCTGAAGTGTAAACAATTTGACACGTTTTATCACTGAGTCTCAGAGATATAATCTAAAAAGTCCAAATGTTAGTGAGATCAATCATAGACGAGATAAAGTAGTAGTAGTCGATACGTGGAGAACATACAAAGAAGTGAAATCATCTAGAATATTGAGCATATTTGTAACATTCAAATGAAAATATAAAGCTTGGGAGGAGTTGCAGACAAAAAGATGAGAGAATGAGTAGATTATAGTGCTAATTTCTAGCAAATTTGTTGGCCTTGCAGAAATGAGTTCGGTATTCTGTGCAGATGTAATGCGAACATCGCAGAGCGCTGCAACTCGAACAGAGAAAGTTTTGAGATCCTGTCTTATGCAGTCACTCGCTCTCACTTAACTGCACCGACTGATAGAATTTTCCCAAATGGCCGAGACGGCGCTGATCCCGTCGCACATCATCGCGATTTCTGTCGCACAACTTCGACCAGTGGTCAGTGGGATCAAGATATTAGGTGAAAAAGAAAAGAATGCCGTTTCATATGGCGAAACAACAAAAGAATCCGAAAAATGTATGTGGGTGGCATTGATAGAGCAAAGCAGAACAAGAGAACCTTTATGCGTCGACACAGGTCGTGATTAATGCAAAGTTTGAAGCAAAAATCCGCGATCATGACGCCAAAAATCGGATCTTCGCTCCACAAAAAAAATAAACTTCTCGCTTGTTTGTGTGTAACAGATACTTGCACTTATCCGTACACAGACCTGCTGTTTTTTTTTTCATCTTCAAAAATCAAGAAATCATGAAATGACGGACTCTGCGACTAGCATTCCCTAAATCCTCCCATATATGCAGCTGTCTAGTACAAGCTTCTGTTACTTAACCGCAAAATTGCGCCCTTGTAAAGGCTAACTCCTGAGAAATTAAACTTTAGGTCAAAAACCGAAAAAAGCTTCAACCAAATATTATTTTGAACTCCGGTTTAACGCCGTAGTCACTAGTTCTCATTTTTCAGAAAGTGCTTTGCGAACCTATCAGAGTTCTTCATCCATTTTTTGAGCTTTACTGTTCTTGCAGGGTACTGCAACATGAGAAGAAGTCCACTACATATTGCTCACAGCTGATCTCTGAGGTTGGCATAATTCAAAATTTTCTCTTATGATAATTTTATAGAGTTGATCACGATTCCAGCTGTTTCCTCCAAATGACAAAAGACTTTGAGAAAAGAGAATTCCTTCGGAGGACACAGAACGCAGAGAAATGCAAGTGTGGTTTCAGATACCTGTTCGAGGAATCGTCCATTACGCTAGCAGAAGAACTGCCCATTTGGATGCTTACTTTAAGAAATCCAAAGGGTCTCTGATTAGAATGCGCTGATTCAAAGTGTGTAAATTTCAAAGAAACGGTTATCATAAAAAATGGCTTATCAAAATGTGATCTTCAGGGTAGCGACTTATTGTGTGCTGGATTAAGCTTATAGCGTCATGAAAATTCCTAGAAAGGAGAGCGAAAAATCGAGGACCAGTGGTTTGAACCAAGTACAGGTCATCGCTACGACATTGCTTAGCCCATTATCATTCACTAGAGATGATTCAGGCGAAAGACGTTGAAATCGTAGCGATGTTGGACGCTTGAATTGTCTTCGCTCTACGATCATCGTGGAATTGCGGTCACCGTGCCGCCACACCTCGAATCGCCTCAAATCGCAGGAGGCACATGTGCCAAATCGTAGCTCTCGATTTCGTTCAACACCTGCTCGGACTGATTTAGAGTCCCGCAACTGCAAGCAAGACGGGTGAAGTGGAAAAAAGTGGAGAAGCAGCGAACTGCTATGTCGAAGTGAAGTCGCGAATCGCCTGGTATGCCGCATTCGAAGTTCAAACAATGCATAATAAATTCATAATGAATTTCTAACTTTGCGGATATGAGTGAATTAAACGATGTTCTTCAAGATAAGATTTAAGATAAGACTCTATGAGATCCATCTTTAAGCTCTTCTATATGCATCTTTTACATTGCTACAGTGCTGGCCAAAACTATAGATCCACTTTGAAAACTGCCGCAGCTCATCTGCTTCTCAACGAATTGACCAGAAATTTGGTACATCTGTGTGATTAATAGGCTACCATCAGTAACTAAAAAGGATTCGGCTTTCTTTTAATTATTTCAATTCAGGAAAAAATCAAAAATTCCGAAAAAAGCAGCCTTGAAGGTTGTTTAAAACTATAAATCACCTGAATCACCTGAAGTTTCTCTCCACTAAAGTAATTCTTAGTTTCCAAAGCCTTTTGTGCATATACATAGTCGAAAGTCAAAGCGGTCGCTTTAGTCCAACTGTGTCATACCTTTACAAGAAATGCTTATCTGCTTTTCTCACATAAAAATACTTTCAAGCGTATTTTGTTTCCGAGAATGTGTTTTTGGAGAGGATTCCGCACTTTTTTAGATTGGTTTAGAAGCGATAGGTTTCCATCTATCTTATAGATGCTTAGCGATGTAACCTGTAGGAAAAAATTAGAGTTTTCGTATTCAAAGCGCCCCCGACATAAGCGTGACCGCAGGCCTGAAATTGATTCCTTCAAACTCTTTCTGCAATGTTGTCATGAGCATGAACTGGAGTAATGACATTGTTGGTATGTATGAGAGTCCGTATGCAGTGGCTGCAGATTTCTACAGATCCTAGCATGCAGGTTATGGGTGACTTCATCTTGCAAAAACTGATTTCCAAGAAGCCTTGAAGTTATTTGTGGTTCTGACCACCCATAATGCCTATGTGAGTCACAAGGCACCTTACAGGTGTATTCACTATTTAGCAGCTAAGTAGTAGCAAAATTCAGCAAAGGTATTAATTGGTAAAGTACTTTGAGACTTTGAAGCGTAGGACTTATGCTTTGAAAAACGAGTAAAATTCGACTTCGCGAAACGTGAGTATAGTTTACAAACTTCTTTTTATGTAAGTAATACTGCTCCTACTTTATTTTGAGCTTACAAAGCTGTGCGTAGGGTTGTTCCGTACACCAATTTTGAAGGCAAAAATTTGAGCGCAGGCTTGCTGTCAGGTCTATGTCGGGTGCGTAAATATCAGGTTGTCCCATTGGTGGTTAGGCACAGCGGTAACGCTTAGTGCGACACCTGGTTGTCAGGCAATCTTAATGATCCGTTTACGCGAACGCCAAGGCAGACGCTAACTTTTTATGTTTGAATTTTGCAGAACTGTGACTTTGAGTCACAATCGACTAGCTTCAGCGATGGATCGGTCGATTCGCGTATCGATGAAAAACGCAGCAAGCTGCGTAATTTACCACGAATTGCAGACACTTAGGCCCGTATGCACATACATCCCCGCGGGGAGGGGAGGGGATCTGAGAGTGGAAGCGTTATATCTCGCTAGTCTACATATCTTTCTCCTTCTTTCTCTATCTTGCTTATGTAGCTTCTCGTACATTGATATCTGCGCATAACGGATGCCAGGTTACCGCCATACAAGATTATTCACTATTCCATCTGATCCCCTGGGGATCCCCAAGGGATCACCCCACATTTTCAAAGCCATTTATCTTCCTGAAAAATCAATGAAAACGCTGCAAAATTGTACTAAAGATATACCACGATACTGCTGAGCATGTTTTCGACAGAAGAAATGGAATCTGAAAAATTTGATTTTTTCAATAATGCCTGGCTCGCGAGAAGCGGTTCACCGAAAATTTTGATATCTTGAGATTTCACTCATTTCTATTATAAACATGTTTAGCAGTGCTGTAGTATATCCTCAGTGCAGTTTTGGAGCATATTCATTGAGTTTTCAGGAAGATAAATGACTTTGAAATTGTGAGGTATCCCCTGGAGATCTCCAGGGGATTAGACAATATAGTGAATATCTAACCTTGTATGGCAGTAATCTGGCATACGTTATGCGCAAGTATCAGTGTATGAGAACCTTCAGAGGTAAGACATAGAAAGAAGAAAAAAGATGTATAGACTAGCGAGATATGACGCTTCCCCTCTCAGATCCCCTACCCTCCCCGCGGGGATGTACGTGCATGCGGGCCTTAGAGTGGCAAAATTTTGAACGCATAGCGCCGTTGGGTTTTCCCTTCGGCATGTCTGGTTCAGGGTTGTTTATAAATACTATAATGTGGCCTGTTACAATGTTTGTCGAATGACGCTTGCATTCAATTGCAATCCCCACTCTAGAAAAGAAGCATATTGCAACATGTACGTTAGCTGTGCCTTACGACAGAAATAAATGCGTTTTTACTGCTGGATCGTTCAGTGCCTGTTAACTTTCCAGTGGGGCCTGACGATAGCGCTTCGTTATTTGATTTGGCTATGGCTAACTACACAGAATGACATATATTCGTTGTAACTGTTGATTTGTTTACCGCCTACTAACATTTCAGCAGTGCATGTATGACAACGTTCTATATTGTCATTTGCGATGCGACCTGAGCTCAGGCGTGACTACCCGCTGAACTTAAGCATATCATTTAGCGGAGGAAAAGGAGCTAACAAGGATTCCCTTAGTAACGGCGAGTGAACTGGGAGGAGCCCAGCGCTGAATCTCTCGGTGTTATGCCGTTGAGAAGTGTAGCGTATAGGTGTGGCTTTCACTTCGTGCTGCATGTCCAAAGTCCCTTTGATAGGGGCCACATTCCCGAGAGGGTGCGAGACCTGTGCGGACAGTGGAGCAAGCTGTATGGTCATATCTTGGAGTTGCTCAAAAGTGCAGCCTAAAGTGGATGATAAACTTCATCTAAGGCTAAATATAGACGCGAATTCGATAGCAAACAAGTACTGTGAAGGAAAGTTGCAAAGAACTTTGAGGAGAGAGTTCAAGAGAACGTGGAATCGCTGGAGTGGAACCGGAGAGAGTTGAAGTAGTCGGATAACTAAGTTTGCCAAAATCGCTTAATTGTGGTGGCGGCGGATGTATGTTGCCTATGGCTGCGCTGACAGCACTGGCTGTGCGTTCCGAACCGTTTGCGTTGCCCACTTCGGTGGTGTCTTGCTTGCGGGTAGGTTTGTCGTGGCTAGTGTTTTATCCTGCTTTGCAGAGTGTCAGTGTGAAAGTCGACCACCTCTCCGACCCGTCTTGAAACACGGACCTAGATCCCTCATAGTGGTATTATTTGCTAGGCTGGCTCCGGTCCCTGGCTTCCGTGGCCCATCATTATCGATTTTTGTAATCAGGATCCGTTCACTATTATAATATAGAAGTAACATTTACACGCTGATTTCATTATCCAGAAGTGCAGTACATAAGAAAATTGGATTTGAAATCTGAATCACAGTTTTGCAATTTTTGGTAAGTTACACCTTCATTCATTTTTTTCACATTTAGAAATAGTTGCCAGTCTAGCTTACTCGCAATTTGATAACTTACAGGGCTCCTAAATTGTAGAGTTGTTTGCACCAGCGGCCGCGCGACCGCGTCGCGTCGCGTCCCGGCACTTTGCGAGCGCCGGCGCTGGCGCCATCGATCGAGGCCTGGCAGAATGCTGGGGCGCGAAGCGGTCGCGCTGCCGCTGCTGCAAACGACTCTGCAATTTAGGGGCCCTGTATATAAAATCTCTGGAAAAAAGTCTTCAGAATCTTAGTAGTTTCAACACACAGTAAGAAATAGGCGTTGATGTTAGAGTAGCCGTTGTTGAAACGAATAATTTCAGTTTGACACTTTTTGATCATATGCTATGGGAAAACACGCATAGCCGATATAATTATATGACTTGTATATTACACAAAAACGAAAAAAATAAACGAAATTTATACATTGGTCACCATTCAGATTATGAATTTATACAATGCAGTGTTACCAAAGCCTATCACCTAAATCCTGGATATAGTCATTTAACTTATATACATTAGAAGATTAATAAAACTCAGTGAAAATTAGTAAACAGATTCAATACATTACAAAACCATTCAGATTATGAATTTATACAATGCAGTGTTACGAAAGCCTATCACCTAAATCCTGGATATAGTCATTTAACTTATATACATTTGAAGATTAATAAAACTCAGTGAAAATTAGTAAACAGATTCAATACATTACAAATGATATGTACATTTAAATACAGGTAAATACTTTTCCTCGCCCCATGATTTCGCCGATACTGCAACTAAAAACTCACAAAATCATAGCTACTTTTCAGAATTATGGTTTCAAAAAAAAATTTTTAGGTCAGTCATCGACAAACTCAGGGCAAGTGTTCCTGTAGTTGCCGCGATTCTACCTCAAAGAAAGCCCCTCTGCTTGATTGTGTCCCGCCGATAGCGCTTTCTAGTCTTCGCACTCTAAAATTAAGTGCATTCTTAGCGCCTCTCCAAACACTTTGGCGCGCCTCCACGAACCATATAATATTTGAAAATACACTGAAAAATTTCTATAGGAAATGCCAACATAACTATAAAAAGCTTCATCTCTTTGATAAACTCAACCCTTGTGGCCGATTGAATTGAATTCTCTTCTCCAACGGATAAATCAGCTCCGCCGTATCGCCTTCATAGATCTTCCTTTCCATGTCCAAGGCGAATTTGTTCACATTGCCTCCACACAATTTCCGGAGGCTCTCCCGAAATAGCGGGAGCATAATCGTAGGCAAGCACCTATAAATCACAAATCGTTATGTATAGAATTTTCACAGGGTACAACTTACCTTCGCTTTCGACTCTTTTGGGAATCCTCTTGAGCACCTCCTGGACGTTGGCCCTCGGCTCGCCCAAGGCACTCCAGCTCCTCTGCTGCCGCTGAGCGGCTTCGAGCTGGGGTCCTTCCTCGCCATCTCGGTTTCCAAGCGAGTAAGGCGGCTGAGGACGTCGTCCGTAGAGGCGCTCAATTTCCTCAGCAATGCTTTGTCTGCGGGGCATCCCGCTTCCCTAGAAGCATTTGTGTGAATTTATGTGGAATCATAAAATTTCGGATTTGAAATTTCATTTTCCAGCCATCGATGGCAAATTTGGCGAGTTTCTGAAACTAATGGCACGTAGGAAACCCCCTCTCAGCTCAGATGATCTGCGCTGACCCCCTCAGAAGAGTTCCGTAAGCTAATCTTACGATCCCCTTTGTTACAGTGATTAAGAATGAATGATGAGCTGACAGCCAAGGGGCCGGCCAGCTGCCGCAATGAGCTGCGCTGCCTGCCCTAAGCTGAGCCGTCGCCGTCGGCACGGCTTACGCAGACAGTACGTCTTTAAGGAAAGGCAGAAAAAAATCTCGTAAATTGCTTGTGAGTAACTTACGGGACACGTCAGCAGGCTAATTTTGCGGACGACAGTGCACGAAATTGCACAAGTAGGCTGGCATACGGATGGGGATGATCAATGAACAGCTGATCGCAGCAAAAATGGGATATCAAGTTTTTTCTATGTGTTATTTTGCTATGTCAATCAAATTTTCATATTTTTCGAAGAATGCTCAAAATAAAAGTCAAACTCTCTTTATATTCTAAATATCAAGATTTTTTATGGGTGTTAATGCTAAGTTATTGTATCCGGTTTATCCCCCTGTTTGCGCAGCAAATCTTTGACAGCGCCCACCATCGATTTTTTTGGTAGTGGCTGCTATCAAAGATTGCCTCGGCGATACAGCAAAAATATCGGCACCTGCCGGTCGCGAACCCTGGTGCCGCAGCGTGTATCACTCTAGTTTTAGCCATTTGACCAAACCTGCACAATTTAGCGATCTGTTTTGTTCTTTGAGAACACGCAGTTTCTATCATGCCTACAAAACGAGCATGATAGAAACTGCGTGTTACGAAACAGCATCCGAATTGATGGCTCGCTTGACACCGCGCTAAGGTGCCGCAACGTCAACTGAGGCTTGCCGCAACTGACCCAAGATGACGGAGGCTTACTACGGGCCTTTCTATTCTAACAACTGTGGCTTCGAAAATCGGAGTTTATGATTTATAATAAATCAGTTAGAGTATGAAAGTCAAAAATTCAGTTTCCAGCCATCGATGAAATTCAGGTTTTGCAATTTGTTCCCAATTACACACCTGTGACATGGAAAATCAGGATTTATGATTTTTCAATGAACCATAGGAATTCAAGTCTAAAAACTCATTCTGCATCCATTGGCGAATCAAACTAACCAGTTTTTGCAACTTTCTGTTCCAAAATCACACACCTGTGACTTGGAAAATCAGAATTTACAATTTCTAATGATATGTAGAGTTTCAAAACATCCTTGGCATTTTGTGGGAAACTGCACATGTGTGACTTGTTCAAATAACGCAAGTCAATAGAGGCCTTCAATGGATAGAAATCTGTTCCATTTTCAGAGGAATATTAGCTGCACCAGTTGAAAGTTTTGTAGCACTTTTCGACCTCTTGCCAGTACTGTCGAGAAGAATCTTTCAGGAGATTTTCTGTGACAAATTTGATTTTTTTGTTGTAATTTATAATAGTTCGAAAGCTGTATGAAATGGTAAAGCATTCATTTATTTGAAATATCAATTTGAAACTGCTACGAACTGCTCTTATTATAATACGATGTATTGGCTAATTAGAATAATTTGCAACAGTATTCGGTAATTTATCACATGCATTATCGACTATACAGTGACCGCCAAGAAGTTGCGGAAAAGCCGCCTTCCTTTTTTCATCGCTCATTTTCGGATGGAAAACGAAGACGAAAAAAGGTTGGATTGCATATGGTGATAGAACTCACCAAGAGCTACAAACCACACATTGCGCTTCCTGGAAAACATGTATCATAAAAGTTTTAAAAATCTTTTTCTTAAAAAAGTCCGAAAATGGCCGCGTCACAATGTCGCGGACAATAATTCTTCGAACGCGGAAATTTTCTGTTAGGTCTTTTCCTGGAGCAAAAATAGAAGTTATCCGGACAAGTAAGCATACTATATCGTAGAGCTCAACGAGGGCAATAATCGGGTAGTGGTTACTTCCAAAAAAAACCCAAGCTTGAATTTTGTTTTGCTTTTTTTTCAAAAAATAATTTTTAATTCCCTTCTTCAAGCCAAATTTCTTCACACGGAAATCTATTCAAGGCATTTCAACAAGCTGTTCGGATAAAGTGGATGCTCTTTGCCATTCTCTATGCATCGGACATGTGCAGTTTCTTTGCTGAAAATGGCTCTTGACAGTGCGTGCACATGACCCCACCTGCACCTTACCACTGACTTGCACCAATTTGCAGGCTTGTAGCTCGGCCAGCAGTCATTCTACGAGCCTGCTAGTAGGCTCATTCGAAAGAGCGTGATTTCCTGAACACGATGGCATGCAAAAGAGTTGGGTATGAGAAACAGCAGAGATTCGGCGGATGGGGTAACAAAGCGCAGCCTTAGAGGTGAATGGAGTGAAGGCTCTTATTAACACTAGAACGGTTCTAGAGCTCCGAATTGGATCTATTACAAGGAAATTGACGGTTTTGAACTTCCAGGATGGAACTGGTGGTGAAAGAAACTTTGCTCAACTTTGACTGAAAAATCGTTAGCCTACCACTGAAGCTGCGCTTTGTCACCCCATCCGCCGAATCTCTGCTGTTTCTCATACCCAACTCTTTTGCATGCCATCGTGTTCAGGAAGTCACGCTCTTTCGAATGAGCTTACATGCAGGCTCGTGGATTGACTGCTGGCTGAGATACAAGCCTGCAAAGCGGTGCAAGTCAGCGGTGAGGTGCAGGTGGGGTCATGTGCACGCACTGTCAAGGGCCATTTTCAGCAAAGAAACTCACCAGCACACGTCAGATGCATAGAGGATGGCAAAGAGCATCGACTTTATCCAAACAGCCTTGTTGGAATGCTTTGAATAGATTTCCATGTGAAGAAATCTGGCTTGAAGAAGGGAATTAAAAATTATTTTTTGAAAAAAAGCATAACAAAATTCAAGCTTGGGTTTTTTTGGAAGGGACCATTACCCGATTATTGCCCTCGTTGAGCTCTACGATATAGTATGCTTACTTGTCCGGATAACTTCTGTTTTTGCTCCAGGAAAAGACCTAACAGAAAATTTTCGCGTTCGAAGAATTATTGTCCGCGACATTGTGACGCGGCCATTTTCGTTTCAAGAAAAAGATTTTTGAAACTTTTATGATACATGTTTTCCAGGAAGCGCAATGTGTGGGTTGTAGCTCTTGGTGAGCTCTATCACCATATGCAATCCAACCTTTTTTTTCATCTTCATTTTCCATCCGAAAATGAGCGATGAAAAAAGGAAGGCGGTTTGTCCGCAACTTCTTGGCGGTCACTGTATGTGCGAATTGGATATGAGGTCACCCAGCCATAATCTACGTGAAGCACTCAATAAGTCCAGTTGAGAAATTAAAAAGGCTCCAGCTATAACTGATTTAGGTTACAATAACGAAATAACACTGAGTTAAGTACATCGCCAAAGTCATGAAATTAAGCTTGAAATTTTTGGTGTTCGAAAGTCAAGTCGTCTGATTGTGCAGATGATATTGAAAATGTTGGTAATTGTTTCAATTGGCATAGCAGAACTAATAATCAAATTCAATGCGAAAATGGAAAATCCAGGAAAATAAAATCTGGAAAGGTGCTTTCAAATGTTTTCAATGTTTTTAGCCAATAAAATTTGTTTTCAAAAGTAATCCGAAAACGAAGGTGGTATGAAAAAATTACTTTGGACTCTGCTTCGTCCCTGAATTGAGCTGCGAGGATCTGCCTGTAGATGCGAGTATGCCTCGGATGCAAGTATGCCTCCGAGTGCAAGTGCACCAAATCAAACTGGCCAGCTAAAATAGAGAAAGAAATGAAATTGATACAATTCCGATAACGATAGGCTAGATCATTTACACATTTGCAAGTGGGATTTTTCTTGGGCATTCAGAATATGTTATTGTGGAGTTTGGATGAAGGTGAATTTCTTTCAAAAACTGAAGTTCAGATTTCAAATTCAATTTTCATTATGTACTGCACTTCTGGAGTATTGAAGTCAGCATGTAAATGTTACTTGTTTGGTTTGCGAGGTTTTGCTTTAAGTAAATATATTCGACCATTCATTGAGTCTTGATGTTATTCAATGTGCCAGATTGGCTAAACGCTCGAATGTTATCTCTTGCAAGTGCCTCAAATTGAAAGGTATGGATCATCACAAGTTCCACTAGTATTAGGTTGTTCAAGAATCGCGTTCAAAAGCATTACAGATTACAATCACAAAGTCATCACAAGTTCAACCAATACCCTTACTCATGAAGACCACGATTTGAAGACAGTGTCGGGCGAGATCTTAGTATGGTAATTTAGCCATGTAAAAATGGACGCTCTCTGATGCTCGGTCACAAGCGCGAAATCATAACGTTGCACCAGAAGCGAAAAATCGAGTTGGATCTATGCCTTAGGGGACACCTCGTCCAGCTGCGAATTTCAAACTGCAAGCCAGAGTGCACATACCTCTGCAACTTGAGCCCCTATGCACGTATTTCATCCCTGTAAGAAAGGGGCGGGGAACTGAAAGTGGAAGTATCTGTTTTCTTCCTGTTCTGTCCACGTTATAAAGGTTCTTGTGCCCTGATACTTGAGTATAATGCATAGCAGAACATTGCCGTACAAGATGAGATTCTCATTGTTCTTTGTGATCCCCTGGGGTAATCATAGGGGATCACCCTTTTTTTCAAACTCGTCAATGTTTTTGGGAAGTCGATCAAAACCTGGTGATGTTGTAAAGAGGATCTACTATGGCACACTGGGGATATTTCGACAAAAATGGATTGTGCAGGTTGTGAGTTTTCAGTGAACCTCAGCTCGCGAACAGTGGTTCATCGAAGATGTCGGTATTCTGAGAGTTCACTAATTTCTGCTATAAACATGTCTTGGAGTGCCATATTATATCCTCGATAGAATTTTACTGCATTTTCGTCGACTCTAGGGAAGATAAGTGACTTTGAAAATGCGAGGTGATCCTGGGCTTTCTAAGTGTATCACAAGAAACACTGAAAAACTCGGTTTGTATGGCAATGCTCTGTCATCCGTTATACTCAGGTATTAGGGCATGTGAACCTTTTAAGATAGAAAAAATTAATACGAATACATGATGTAGCGAGATATGACGCCCCCCTCTCAGATCCCTTCTTCTCCCACGCGGGGATGTCCGGGGATCACAGCGACTCTGCGTCTTAGGGCAGCATGCACTATACCCCTGGAGGGGGGATAGCAGCTTAGAAGAATGCTTCATATCATGAAGCCTAGATATCTGGATTCCACGCTGTCTACCTGTCCGTAAGTGTTCCCACCACCTTTCACTATGAACATAGTGAGCAGGAGCGAGAAGCTGTACAAGCCACCTTTTCCAGCTTATTTATGATCCCCTGATGATCCTCAGCTGCCGACCGGCTTTTCTTCAGAAGGTAGCGTTCATTCAAATCTGGACATTTGGGGATCTCACGTGGAAAGTAATTTTGGAGCCCCGACTAAGCCACTGCCCGACTGGCAGCTCATGTAGTGCTTAAACGTCTGAGTTATTCCCCTCGAAACTGGACCCTAGATCGTATTGTGCATGGATTCATGGCGCAACCCATCAGCCCGAGGACGCCCGCGTTGCGCTATGAATCAATGCGAGATACGACCTCGGGATCCAGTTTCGAGAGCAATATCTCAGCCGTTAACGCACGACCAGCTGGTTGGGCAGTGGCTTAGTTAGAGCCCCAAAAATTACCCTAATTTCACGCGTATAAGGCGCGGGGGCCAAAATCGACCAGCCCAGACACGCCAAAAGATTTTACAAAGAACCCTCCCTATACGTGCTGTCTATTGCTTGAGAGAATCGTGCGATGTAAGGATTTCTTCCCGAATAAAGTGAAGCGGCTAAGCGGCTCGCTTGAAAATTTGAAAAAGTGCGCCTTATACGCGTGAAATTAGGGTACTTTCCACTTGAGATTTCCATATGTCCAAATTTGCCTGGACGATGCCGTTAAAGTCATTCTTCTTTTTTCAGAGCCAATAAAAGCCAAGTCGCACCGATCACTTAACCCAACAGTGCTAGTCATGTTTCTGGTAAGAACAAGTGGTGTTTCGAAGTCATAGAATTTGAGATGAACCACAAGTCAAAAGTTGGGGTTTACCGAAAAAAATCGATATTCGAAAAACCCATTTGTTCTTATCAACAGCATGCTCAGCACTGTTGGGTATGATAAAGGTACAGCTTTGGAAGGACAACTTTGGAAGGTTTCCGTTAACTTCATGGGAAGAAAAATGACTTTGAAGAAAAGATGGTTGGCCTCGGGGGATCATCAAAGGATCATAAGAAGAACTGGAAAATGCGGCTTGTACAGCTTCTTGCTCCCGCTCGATATTACGGACAGGTAGACAGCGTGAAATCCACATATCTGGAGCTGTATAATATGGAGCTTTTTTCTTTAAGCTGCGATCCCCTCCCCAGCGAGGATGTTAGTGATGCGGCCCTTAGCGGGTGGAAATTGCTCCTCTCGTCCAAAGTCAGAACCGGTGGTGAAAAACGCTCTTGCTCGCGGTTTTCGCGTTTTTTGAGATAAATTTTCGACTTAGCCTATGGATCGCTCAGGTAAGTGAAAAAATTAGAAATTAAGTTTTTGCCCCAACATTCACCTTCAATGCGAACGAAAGGCGCTGATCTGATTGTGAGATGCGATGTGCGATGGTGATAGACAGGGTCGAGCAAGACGTGGTTCACGCGACCGTCAGATGGAATGGTCAGAAATCGAAGTGACCAATCCATACAAGCTGCAGATCGGTAGATGCAGCATAAAACGCTGACTCTAAATCTGTCTTCCTTATCTGCAGAGCGCTTTTGTGGGCGAAATTATAAGCCGTTGAAGGCCAATTTTGCTAAGAAATTGTGCGTGTAAAGTGCAAACTTGGCCGTAGAAAGCCATTCTCGGCTCAATGTTGAACCAAAACAACTAGGTCACATCATATGACCCGTACCTAGAGAGCTCAAAAATTAATAATGTGTTTAATTTTGCAAATTCTGTATACGATTTTTTCGCAGTAAAGCTGCTCATAACTTCGCCTACAAAGACGCTCTGCAGATATGGATGACAGATTTGGAATCAGCATTCTATGCTGCATCGAAAGGTATGCAGCTTGTATGTATTGGCCACTTTGACTTCTGACCATTCCCTTGTGAGTTTTCATATATTAGTACCAGTACTCTGCGTTGATACCACTGCT